TTGAACTTTTTTACATAAATCTGCAAATATTGATCATTTCCATTATTGGTTATTTTGCAGATTATTGTCTCCATTAATCAGTCAGTTGACTGTTTGGTTTGTAAAGTTCACAGAGCTGCGTTCACATTTTTTTTTTTTGCTTTGTCCAAACAACAAACTAAATATATATAATACTTAAATGATTGTAGAAATAGTGTCTTCGGTTATTGTGCTGTTTGCTAGCTTAATATTTAACTGAGCCTTGTGCGTCATAAGCTTTTGTACGCAAAATCTTATTTTTCTATAGTAACTACAGCTGTCAGATGTTTGTATTGGAGTAGAAAGTTTATCATTTTCCTCTAAGCTGTAGTAAAGAAGAAGAACAAAGTAACAGACGATACAGATGAAGCTAAAACTAAGACCAAGTTAGGATGCTTAGTGTTTAATCGTACTCAATATATCATCAGTACTTGTTTTCATTATAATTAATCTGTTGCCGTCTTTGTGTGGTATAAAAAATCAATTCCTGAGATCCTGGAGCCTTACGACTAATTGTTTTATTACATAAAACAAGTCAGAAAAAGTCAATAATCAGCTTTAGCAAAGACTAACGATAGCTGAGACTCAGATTAGCTGTACAGGAAGCAGGAGCTCAGTCGTTGCTGTTTAGCTTTTCCCTCTTTCTTTGACATTTCTGTAAGTTTTTTTGTTGTTGTTTTGGTAAAAAAACAAATCCAAAAGTTAGATTCCGCTCCGAACTCAGCAAATATTCTGTGACGTGGTTTCATAGAGCAGCGTAGCCGACTGTGTGCTGTATCGAGTTTGTGGTTTGTGATGTTTGGATGTGCAGAACAAGTAAAACTCACTTCCACGTTTAGCCCGTCTGAGAACTTTCCCAACTGGCTCGAGCTGCCGTCTTGGCTGGCGGAGACCCAGCGAGTATAAAGCCTATAAGACAGCGTGTTTGTTTCCTGGAGGAGACTCCCGTCGCTCGCTGTGGGTGTCGACTGATTGACAGGAGGCAGAGTGTCATGGGTCCATCTGGAGGAAACAGATTTTCATGTTCTGGTTCTGCGGTGTGAACAGGACAGCAGCTGTGTGGGTGCAGAGAACGAAGATCAGTCAGTCAGCAGGTGTGTGAAGTCTGCAAGAGAGGGTTTCTGGCGACTGGCGTTGCTCTTGCGAGGTACAGAATGTCAAAGATCACAGGAGGCAGCGTTACATTATATATGTAGAGTCAGATTCAGTCGAGCGTTCGGTATTGTAAAAGGGAGATGTACAGGAAGTGTTTGGAGACATTTAAAGCAAGTTCTGAAATGAGGAAATGCCTCAGACTCTATTTCTAAGTCAACACCATTGATCAGATTAGTGATCATGTTTAAATATCTTCCATTCAAGCAGGGTTCAAGAGGATTTGATCGACCAAACCTGCAGGCATTGATTTCCTCTTACAAATACGACTGTGTCTCCAGTTTCCAAGTCGTTTTGTAATCGTGGGAAACATGACATCAAGTGTAAGGGTCAAACGTTGGTATATTTTGAGCACCGAGCAGCGTTTTTCACGTCATGTCCCGTCTAGACTCGAGAACAGTTCAGAGAGTTCTAAAACACCTCGTGCAAACTAGAACATCTGAAACAACAAAAAAAAGATGACGCTTCATCAGAAGATCGATAGCTTTGTTCAGTGAGTGACAGAACAGCAGCTTTAGCACAGAAATAGGATTTGCTAAATAAAGAACACAACACTCCAATCAGCAAAAGTCCTGTCAAAAGAAGGCTGTTCATCTGAGAGGACAAGTAGCGTCTCCAAACCACCTCTCAGGAGGGGAAACAGTGCGGGCGGGCTGAGGCAGAACAGCATTTTATTGGGGATGATGGAAAATGTCCTATTTGTTGATGAATCCCTGTTGGGAGATTAGTGGCGGGGTGATGGGTGTATGTAAGGGGAGATAATCGTATCGCAGTGGATCAAAACTGCAGTAAAACACGCTGCGGATGTATTTAGGAAGGGAGGGTTTGGACGCCATGCAACAAAGCATCCTGACCAAGCAGAAGCAGCACTCCGTTCTTCAGAGACATGCTCCACCCTCTGGGAATTCAAACCTGATGTTTGTCTTTGGATATTTAAAAAAAAAAACGAGTCAAGCTGAGCTAAATTTTCTCTCAGTGCAGATCAGTCATACTGAGCTGACAAATTTGTCTTCGCAGTGATAAAAATAACAAAAAAAAAAGTTAACACCGAAGGAAGCAAACAAGCACAAAAAGCACTTGTGAAGAGGCAGGAGGACTTTGGTGGTTCTGCGGCACAAACTATTAATAAGCTGACATTTCAGAAGTAAGAGCGCCTTTTACGGGTCCTTAAAAACAAGACAAATCGTGTTGTATGTTTAGTTTACGGTGCACACAAGTCCTTATAAGATAACACAATAAACACGTGAATTCTTAGACAAATTGTGTGTTTATATAGTGAACAGCATAATCTAATGTGCACAGTAAAAAAAGACTGTGATGAGCCAAAGAAAATCCTGAAATGATACCTGCTCTTCAACATGAGGAAAAAAAATCTTTCTCGGGGGACTAAATGTTCCACTGAGTTTGCTCTACCTGCAGCCTTATTAGCCTGACTGAATTATAAATCGACACACAAAGCTACTAACTGCAGCACGTTAAGTCAATTCAACCTGGTTATTTTACACCGAAATGATAAGAACAGACTCGGAACAGACCGCCGGCCCATATGGATGTGATTTCTAAAAATAGAACGACATCAACAGATGATCCAGCACAAGAACTATTGAGGAACATAACGCAGGCAGGTTACTGTTTTTAGATGATGTGCAGTGTTGGTTGTGGAGCTGGGATGTGCAAACAATGCATGTTTTTAGTCATCTGTTGGAACAAAATGCAGCCACACTGATGACTTTGTCGGTTTGGAGTTGACTCTGTTCAGTCAAATAAGTTCGATCTAGCCGTTGGTTTGGGTCCGAAGTTGTGAAAAACGAACGTCCTCAAGAGTCACATTACAAAAACAGTAGTGCCTGTTTTTGGAGCTGCAATATGCATAAAAACATGTCAAGGAATCGTGTTCTGTCAGCTCACTTAATCCTCTTACACCAAATGTCCAAATAAAACCAAGATGTCCAAACAGCAGAATCGGAACCAATTCAACAAAAACACAAGATGACAAAAGCTGTGCTTGTTGTGTCTTATTTACTTTATCTTCCGCTGTGTTTGCTCGTTTGCCGTCTGCATGTTCTAATGGCTGAGCACATGACTGTGTGTGTGTTGCCAGGCTGAAGGGGGTCCTGGAGCAGATGGACCGCGGCGTCGTGGACCTGCAGGAGCTCCGCAGGAACCTGGAACTGGCCGCCGCCATGCTGGACGCTGTTTACACCGACGAGACCAGGTCAGGCCGGTGGGAGGCTGCTGGATGGACGGACGTATAGAAAATAAACGCCCCTCATTGGTCGTCCGGCCTGTGACCGTGTCTTTCTGCCCAGCAGGCGGCTGTTGGACACCGAGGACGAGCTCAGCGACCTGCAGGCGGAGTCGGTGCCCACGGAAGTACGTGATTGGCTGGCGTGCACCTTCAGCAGGAAGATGGGCGTGGCCAAGCGGCGTCCTGAGGAGAAGCCGAGATTCAGGAGCATCGTCCACGCAGTGCAGGCTGGGATATTTGTGGAGAGGTAAACATTGCTTTTGCCAAGTAACTGAATATTAATCATGATTTTGGCTCCCCATCGTCAGAACAAGAGCACAAAATGAGTACAGGGGACATTATTCCATATGCTGATGTAGCTGTTTTGATATCAAACATGTTGCGTATGTTAGCCTAACAGCTTGAATACATATGCCAACCGACACAAGCTCTGATCAACATGAACATTCACTGAGGACTTTGTCATGGTGCCCCTTTACTAGTTAAATCCCTACAATGCTCTCTGCTTGCCTCCTCTGGTTGCTGCAGTGCCAAACTATAGAGACTCCACCTGGTGGTGCAACCAGGTACTACAGCTAATCTGCAATACATTTTCTGACATGCATACCCTCTGCATATTTATTCAGTTCAATTATTAATTTGATTACCTGTTCTTCATTAACATCCCTAATTGACTTAAAATGCTTATTGACAGCAGACCGTGTAGATAAAATCAGTTTCCTCGGGTTAATCTTATATTCTAATTATAATTATAATCTTGCTCACCCACCCATCTGAGTTGTTGGACATGGAAGTAAAAGCAGATCCCTGTTTATTAAGTGTGAAAACACAATGACATATTTTGTCCCTAAAATAAATAAATGAACGCGACAGATAATCTCAAAATATATTACAACTACTAGAAAGCTGGAAACACCATTGAGATGTGGTACTGAAAATCCCCAAATCTCATTCATTTTAATTTCTCTAAAAGCCTGCAGTTAGGTTTTCATGCAGTGAAAATAAATGCACATGCAAAAAGGAGGCGCTGCCAAAGCTACACTCCCATTCTAACTGGTGCTAACGACCACAGAATATGCCAGGCAGCCGTTAGTCTTTGTAAATCACAGCGTCCAGTGCGTATAAAACTGCAGGCACCTGTTCTGCTTCGGGCTCCATTAGCAGTGAACTGACTGGTGAAACTAACCTACTCATGGGTTAAACTGACCGCACGCCATAAAGCATGGATTAAACACAGTCTCTTCTTGTGTCTTTTCGTGCTCCCAGGTGTTCTGACAGTGAAGTAACCGACACCTTATTATTCAGTTATTATATATTATAGGATCCTATCATGCATTATCAAGTGCTTTACATTTTTAGTACAACATAAAGCATGTTTTACCAACGAAAAGTCCCGCAGGGCAATTCATCAACCCGTATAATGTACACCTTTACGACTGAATCATGTCCCTGGTGGATTTTAATACCTCTAAGAGACTTTATGGCGTGTGGCCAACACAAAAGAAGCCTCGCAAAAACAAACAAGCATAAAGAAAAGGGGGGTTATTATTAAAAATGAAAGGCACAGATGTGAATACAGATAAATCCAGACATTCAGCGCTCACAGTCGTATGTTTCATAAACACACAAACAATTTGAAGATTGTAAATAACCAAGCTTTAGTCTGTAATATGCATAAAGTCTTCCCTACTCGACAACCGTACAGGCCAGTTGTTATTCCACGCTGATAAAACACATGCGTTTCCTGGATTGGTACCTCCACCAGCAGATACATCGCAGATATTGTCAGATTACAGTCGTAGTTGCACTGATTGGTTAAAATAATGGAATGCTCATGGGTACAAACAAGCATGAAACACAACAGAAGAGCGGTGTCTGTTCAAGTCCAGTGTTTGGTTTGGTCGACCCATCCATCCACCCCGACCTCCTCCAGAGACAAGACAGGAACAGAGTGGCTAGCAGCATGCTAAGTGACAGCTGTAAACATACCACATTGGTAGTCCTAAAGTTAGACTCTCATCTCTGGAGCACAAATGAGAACAACGGTATTTATTTGAACTTCAGTTTCTGAGGTGTGTTGTGGTTTTCACAGAACGAAAGCTGTTTTAATAGTACTGCGTGCGTAAAAGCCCAATTGAAATTTAGCACCACCTATAAACTCTGTGCAACACATCAGTTTGATGCTTTGTAATGGAACTACGTTAAACTTCATTGTCCCCATAAACAAGATAACCTCAAAGTCAAATTCTCTCTAAGCTCCATAATTCTCTAAATTCGGCCTGTTTCTAATTGCTGAAGCCACGGTCGCACTGAGAGGACGCAATAACCTGATTTCACAAACAAGCTTAGCGGTCACTTTTTATTGAAGGACGGTCTTGTTTAGCCTGATGTGGCCTCTGCTTCGGTTCATTGTAATGCTGCATACGATCACATTCTAGACAACGGTGTGGTTCCAGTTTCATGTCAGCGGTTTGTGTTTGCAGTTACAACACGAAAGCACAGAAGCCAGCTCCGTAGAGAAATAGTTTTCCCACGCTGATGCAGAGTTCCTGACCTCCAGCCGTCCAGCAGCTCTGGGAGTCACTGCAACACAAACAGTGACTCACGCCCGGCATCTGTGCTCGTTTGTCCTGCAGCTCCAAGGCCCGTTGACACATTTCATTGCGAAGCGACGACCTCCAGCAGCGCTAGACGGCAGCAATCTCTGGAGCGCCCTCTAGAGGCTGTAGCAGTTATTATAGGAGGAAACAAAGAAGTGAGGAGCCGCAAAGCTGGTGTAGGGAGGAGGCTGGGGTGGACGGATGGGTCAACAAAACGCTGGAACTTTCTCTTGTAACTATGACATTTCTATATTTGTGATAATATTTAGCGTGCAGCATTTAGATCTCTTCAGGCTCTTTTTTTGGGGGGGAGGGCACAAATGGTGTTTTTAATTTCCCACTATATATAAAGAACACCCCAAAATCTTAAAGGGAATGAGCTCAACAGGGCGAAGATCGAGGCAGACAAACAATCAGGCGTTCATGTGCAAACAACTGGCGACCATCATTCATTATTTAACTGTTTTATTTTTAATTATTTGTGTATATTTTAAAGTTTATTCCTGAAACATGCCCGCAGAAGATCCTGTTGTTTAAAACATGATATGGAACTCCCTCATTAAACCTCTAAAAACTCACTTCTGTGCATTAAAATTACAAATTCACAAGCTTTTTTTCCTTGAAATGAATTCCTTTCCCGCCTTGAAGTAGCTGAGACATAACTCTACAGAGTTTCTTCATCTAGAATGATCTATGAAGTCCCCATTGCTTTGTCGCTGCAGCTCCGGCACACCAGCTTGCTTACACTCCTACTCGAACACTCTGAAGCTACTCTACGCGACACAATGTCAGGATTTAATATTGGAAATGCTCAGCTGTGGTATTTACACACATTGTATGTCTTCTAACATTAACACAGTGTTTAACCATGTGTTGTAACCATGACGATGAGGGTCCTCCAATCTAAACTAAGTACGTTTTTTAACCCAATATATGATGTTTCCCTAAAACCTAGCCAAGTAGTTTTGTGCATCAACCAAAGCCAACGTTCACCACAGCAGCGCCACATCATTACAACGGTTTTTGTGTATTCTAGTAATTTATTTCTGGTATGTTTTTTTTGCCGCTTGTGGGTGAAAGTCAAAGGTCGGGACGAGCCAAAGCCACGTAGTGTATTTTAGCAACAGAAAGGCGAACCTGTGCCCCTCGAGTCCCGTCAGACGATCGTCTCCAACATGAGTTGCACTTTCAACCGTTGAGTCACTTCGGTTATTTTTATCTCGAGCAGGAATCTGGAGCACCTGCAGACGGCACGGCAAGCAGACATAGGTTTTCTTACAAAATAAACAACCGGAAACATCCGGCCGACTTCGCCGCAGATGTGATTACGGGGGTCCGACGCGAAGTGTAACGACGTTAGCGCGCGGGCGAGCTGCAGATGGAGATCATATAGGGGGAACGACGAGGTCCAACATCATTAGAGTGTAAATGAGTCGCGCTGATAGAACAGTATCACTTCATCTGCTGCGGCTTAATGACGCATGAAATCAAAAAATATCTCCTGCGCCGAGGCAGCGCTCGCTCCGAGTGTTACATGTGTGTGTGTGTGTGTTTATAACGTGGTTACCGTGGCAACAAACAATCCATCCCGGTCGCAAACTGTGGAGGAGGGAGGCCGGAGGGGGGTCCGCGCGAGGAGTGTGCGTTCGCATGCCGCCGTCAGTGTCTAGGAGTGAGATTTGTACGTGATATTTTTATCTGTGTGTGTGTGTGTGTGACAACAGGATGTACAGACGGACGTCCAACATGGCGGGTCTGACCTACCCTCCCACGGCGTTGACAGCTCTCAAGGTAAAAACTGTCGACGCACTCCACTTGGCACAAAGTGACGGCTGATTAGGAGTCGAAAAAGCAATCAAAACCAACCTTTTTCAGTCAGACCTGTGTTCTACCGAAAGAGGAGGCAAATAAAGTAAAGAGTGAAAGTTAAGGATGGAAGTGAGGAGCGAGAAAAGGAAGGAAGTGAGGAGGCAGACAAAGGAAATGTTAGAAGGCAAGTGTGAGGAAAGAAATGGCTAGAAAAGGAAAATAAAGTAGAGAAGAAAAGCAGAGGGGAAAGATGAATGAATGCATGAATAATGCATGAACGAAAAGAGGGATTTTATAAAAGGAAAGAAAAGAGGCTGAAGGTAAAAAATAGATAGGGGGAAAGGAAGAAGGATGCTCTGAAAAGGGAAATGTTGGAGACCAAAAAGGGGGCGAGGCAGGAGGAGGGTAGAGGCGAGGGCAGGGATGGAAATCAAAAACAGAATTAATAAAAAAGAAGACAGTAAAAGTTCAGGAAGGAGCTAAGGAGGTATGAAAGGATGAAAAAGAGACATCAAACATGGAAACTGAAAAAAAAGATCTATGAAGAGAAGCAGTCTGGTGGTGGGGAAGCAGTCGCAAAGGAGGAATTAAAAGGAATAAGGAGGTGTGAAAGGACAGGAGGAGGTGGGAAATATAGTAGAGAAGGAAAGGAAATGTAGGAATGAAAAGAAGGAGCTAGCAAAGAAAAGGAGGAAGCTGAAAAGGGAAAGTAGAGAAGAAAGATTCAGAAAAAGAAATATCGAAGACCAAAATGAGGAGGCAAGTACAATAAAACATGAAAGGAGAATGTTAAAGTTCGGAAAATGAGCGGAGATATGAAAAGAACGGTAATTTGGAGGTAGAGAAAAGGCAGGAAGGTGGAATTAGAAGGAATACTATGGAAGGAAAAAAGCAATGATGAAAGAAAAGAAAAATAGAGAATAAAAGGAAGGAGCGGAGAGGTTTGTATGAAAAGGAGGAGACGTAAAAGCAAAGAAAAGGGGAGGAAATAAGGAGAAGGAAGGGAAGAAGGATGCAGAAGTAGGTGGAGAAATTGAAAATTGAAAAGCAAGTGACAGAACAGGAAGGAGGAGATAAATGAGAGGGGAATGAAAGTTAGAGGAAGGAAAGGGAGAGGTAAATAAGGAATCGACGAGGAAGAAAATGAAAATGTAGATTTATGGTTTGTGTTCTGATGTATGTCCTCGGGTCTTCCTGTGCGAAGGCTGGAAAAAAAAAAATCTAATTACATCTATAAATATTCTGCTTCTCTCATGATAAAAAACACATGAATCATGTTACGACCAACTTCAAACGCAATTATGAGTAATTACAGTCATTAATTTAATTGCCGACTCACCTCCTCCTCCAACGTTGTCATGACGCTGCCCTCTACTGGCGCATGTCGTCATTACACCGAACGAGCAGCTCGATCTCACACATGCCTGCTGTTTTTTTTTATACTTTTACTGTCGCATAAAAATCAATGATCTGTTTCGCAGGAGGTGGATCAGTGGTCCTTTGATGTCTTCTCCTTCCACGAGGGCACCGGAGATCACGCCCTCAAGTTCCTGGTGTACGACCTGCTGACCCGCTATGACCTCATCAACAGGTTCAGGGTACACACGGCTTCATATTGTTAACACCTGTGGGTGGGCGGGGCCTAGTGTCGAGGTTTGGGGGGATTACTATGTGAAAAGGTTGATTATATTTATTTGATTTCCCCCCGAGGAATCCAAAACCATGTATCAAGACTGGACAGCTGGTCTGGCTCTGTCTGCAGGTGGCTAAATCTGCCTGACAGCATCTCTAAAAGTCACTAATTCACAAACTATAACTATATGTATGACAAAAAAAGTACACAAAAGGTATGATTAATAGAGCAATTTCCAAAGAAGTTGCTATCCAATAAAGCAGTCAAGCACCCAACTTGACAGCTTCTCAGAATTATAAGATGTCATAATTTCCACTTGACATCGAGCGTTATTATGAGATAAAATCCCCATAATTTGATCAGTGTACTTTGAAGTTTCGCTCGTATTAATTCATATTCATTTACGGTTTGACTTTGGCTGCACCTTCAGCTGCTTGTTTATGTGCTGATTAATATTCATTCGACAGTCGGAGAGCAGCTGGTGGAAGGACGTTTCGACAAACGGATTTAAAATCACGTCAAAGACAGCTGAGGTCACGATGTAGCAGCTGTATGTAAAAGGTGGACGGAACAATGCTTTAAACATGCATTCTTTCTAGCAGCCAGCAGGGGGCGACTCCTCTGGTTGCATGAATTTAGAAGTCTGTAAGGAAATTACGGTACTTCTCACTTGATTTGATACATCAGTAAACATTTTCTTAATTGGTTTTTGGTCTCAGTCGCTAGTTTCATGTCTCCTTCAGCACTGCATGATGTTTAGTTTGTGAGTCATGGTCTCATTTAGCAGGAAATTAACAATAAAACATGGTGTGATTGATGAGTTGCTACTATATCAGCACGCTTACTGTCCACAAGTTTTCAGTCAGATCCACTTGTAACCAAGAAGGCCACTACCAAAATGCCAAACTCGAGGGTTTAAAACAGTACTGGGTCCATGTGTAGTACTCATTGTACCTGTACTACATACAGTCCTGTGTTCAGATCCCAGTGCAGGCTCTGGTGCAGTTCGTGGAAGCTCTGGAGAACGGCTACAGCAAACACAGGAACCCCTACCACAACCTGATCCACGCCGCCGACGTCACCCAGACCGCCCACTTCCTGATGCTACACACCGGACTGATGGTAACACACATCTGTCTGTCTTTGTGAGGACCTGTATCTGTATTACACATACCTGTTCATGTTTCATCCCAACAACGCTCCTGTTTGTTCCCATCGTCCACCTACCTCATGTACATAAAGCATCAGTAGCTCCGTGTTTATTGGCTAGATTAATGTATTTTGCACTAAAACTCTGGTTTGCTTTTACACATATCTATAATTGTACAAAGTCGTTAAACACTCATTTGTCTTTAGCACCTTGTTGCCTTAATGCACATGGGTTTTATTTTGTGCAAGTACTTTGAGAGCAATGAGGATTCCTTGTACGTCTTCATAAACTTCACCAATAATTCTGATGAAAAATGAAACACAAAACACTGACTTGTTCTTGGAAAAGGGGCTGTTGCAACCAGGAGAAAGGCAGAACATGCCCGGATGAATCTCTCTCTCTGTCTCAGACAAATACAAGGGCATGTTATTATTATTATGGGAGGAGACACAAAACCCTTTTTATTGGCTCCTTTTTGAGGGATTTGACAAGTTTAACCAGAGAAATTCGTCTGACCAAACTGTGAGTCACTATAAATTGTTGACAAAGTAGTTGCTTCAGACTGCGACAGCTACCAACCTACACAAGTTATTATTTATTTTTAATCCATTTTAAGGACAGTGCTTGCCTCCCTGCATGCAGATGTTCCACCAAGTAATTCACCATTTTGCAGGAACCCTGTTGCAGAGTTCAACTGTGACTGGTTTAAAGAGATCCAAAGCTTCCCTTCTCCTCTGTTGCAATAATGAGTTGCAGTCAGGCCACTGTCTGGCTGTGGAGAACGGTCCAACTATGCAAGACTATCCTAACCCTAAGGGAATGCAACCAGGGGAACAATGGCCTCTTGCCTTACAAGTCGTCCCTTCACCAATTCCAAAACCTAACCCTAACCAAAAAAACACGTCAGAAATCTAACACCCAAGTGGTTTACAAGATGACACTAACCTACAACAACGAGGTGAACGGAGAGCAATGAAAACGTACGATGGCCAGTGCATTGCCTTTACTTCCTACCCCAAGCTGTTTTGTCGTCGGACACGGCAGGGGAAGCTATCGAGACAGATTTGAAAAACTTAAAACCAAGTCTAAACCTTAAAAAGTCTGTCCCAAAGAGAAGACAGACCAAAATGTCCAAAAAGACAGAAGAACTCACACAAACATATGACGAGGTATCACTTTGTCTCTCTCATGCAGCACTGGCTCAGCGAGCTGGAGATCCTCGCCATGGTTTTTGCTGCCGCCATTCACGACTTCGAACACACGGGAACCACCAACAACTTCCACATCCACACCAGGTAACTCACTGAGCAGCACAGTCAGATCACTCCATGTTAGATTCAAATGAAAATAAGCTGTTTGTGTACATTCTCAGTCACATCCAGGTCTTGGTAATCCCATAAGAGCAGCTGGGATTCTCTGTTGATTGGTTTCTTCAGTCCAGGACCACCTGCTGCAGACACGCTTAAGATCAGCCATGTAGAACCTCTTTCAGGGGCTGCTTCTAATTGCTTCAGACCACCAAGATTCAGTATTTTAGCTTAGCGTGTTAGCATGCTAACATGTATTATTAAACAGGCCAAACTGTTCACGTCTTTGGATCCTTTGCATGTTCCTCCGCATCCCGGGTTCATGAACTCTGTCAGCGCTGCGCCGTTTTTTCACACAGTTATTCATCTTTGTAAGATGTCTCGTGTTTAAACATGCATGTGATTGAATAATTTAATTGGATAGTAAGAAGAACTGCCTCGTGTTTGGCAAATTACGTGGCGGTTAATTAGAAGACATCCCGACGTAGCTCATTAAAAATGCATTCAGCTCATAAATCAGGACGTATTTCTGAGCCTCGCATGATAAAACAAGGAAAGAGCTGCTTCTAACAATGTCAGATCAAAGCCAAACTCTTTGGCAGATATGAAGTTAAAGGATCGTCAAAGATATTATAATTTGCGTGAAAGGGAACACGAGTGTCTGCAGCAGGGTTTACAGCCAATATATGTCGACGTCCTGGACTCAAACCCGCCAATCTGAGTTTAATTGTGACGCTTGAAAGAAGTCAGAGGATCTCCAATGTCAGGGGGATTCATTTGGATATTTCAGTGCACTTATAATAAATGCTGAAAAACTGCAATGCAAGTCAAGACAGTCATACCTGGAGTTGCAGGTAAAAATATGATAATAATGGAAAACATTTGACCGACTGTGTAGAGAACTCAGCAAAAGCACATAAATTAATCAACAAGAACACAAACATTTTGGAGCTTCTGCTCGTTTCTGATTGGTCGTCGTGTCCGTCCGTCAGGTCGGAGGTGGCCATCTTGTACAACGACAGGTCGGTGCTGGAGAACCACCACGTCAGCGCCGCCTACAGGCTGATGGCGGAGGAGGACATGAACATCCTGGTCAACCTGAACAAGGACGACTGGAGGTTTGCTCTCTCACACACACACACACACACACACACACACACACACACACACACTTCTTAGTTTTTCTCTGAGGACTTTCAGTGCATTCACTCACAGTCAAATTCCCAATTCTCTCAAAGAGGTTCTTTAAATAGTAATGATGAGCGTGTGATGTTTAAAATACTTCCCGCTGCTCTGATGATATTTTCTGAACCCCTACAGACTCTTCTAACAGAGTTTTGGTGTCTCTCTTTCATCTCTATTTTCAACATCCTGTCTTTTGTCAGTCGCTTGTAAAGAACCCTGAACTTCATTTGATTTGTCTGAAAAATAACAAAAAAATCGCTGTGTGATTGATTGATATCCAGGTGGGTGGTGAGCGGACATCCGTGTTTTGATTCAGAAACAGAAGAATAGAGGAGGAAAAGGTTACACATCTTTTTATAGTTCAGTCAATGGACAATTTTTTTTTACATCCAGGAGGTTAGAAAGGTCTTTGGTGCTTCTGCAAAAAGTCCAAACGACAAAGCCTGTAAACTGAAACCCACGTCTTCACCTTCAGACGGTCTTTTGAAGGTTCTGTCCTGAACTCAGGATCGACTTACTTTTCAAAAATGTCCCTGAAAACATCTAAAATGGAAATTTGTCCTCCACACACACACACACACACACACACACACACACACACACACACACACACACACACACTTTCAGACATTTCTGAACCTTAAACCAAACTTTCATCCCGAACTTTAAGGACTCATTTACCTTTATGTGTCACACACACTGTCACACACACTGATGTTCTCCGAGCTGAGGCCTCCGTCATGGGAACCGATCACCGATGATCATGTCTATTGATTATTGGCAGGGAGCTGAGGTCTCTGGTGATCGAGATGGTGATGTCCACAGACATGTCCTGCCACTTCCAGCAGATCAAGACCATGAGGAACGCTCTGACGCAGACACACAGGTCAGTGCTTCTGCCTTGGTTTCAGCCACGACGTCTGTCAATTCTGTATATTTTTGCTATTGTGGATTAATTACTGGTTATCAACAGACTCGTGAACGAAATGTGCCTGATTTAGAAAGCATAAACTGGTTGTCCACTCATTTTGATAACCTGCTTTTGATTTTATAACAACGTATTATAAGCTATCATGACGTATTTTATCATTATTACTGGATAATAAATTAGCTTATATGTAAGTGTTCTTATTAAAACACCATAAAATTAACTGTAAGTTTCTTGGTTTCACAGTAGACCTTGATTTTGTGTAATTAAAAGAAACATTTTTAATATTATGAAAATGCTTCTCGTTAAAAAAAAGAGAGGAAAATTTGACGAAATTATGAACATATCTTGGACTGACATGTCTTCATCTATAGAGTCGGTTTAGTTTTATCATGACCGAATTGGACTGTGCGGTTATTTTAAAATAACGCTGAACGTTTCTGTTCTAACATTCAGATGAAATCATTACTTCATCACATCCAAAAACATTTCTGCACGGGTAATTAGGTTATTACTTTATGTAAAAGTATGAAAAAATGTGTTCTTACAGACTTGAGGTTAAATTACTGTTCATTTATTTCACTTCTATTGATTTATTTTCACCATCTTCAAACAGTCAAAAAACAGGCTTATTTTATTAGCCTACATGGCTGAGCACAGAGAGGGACATTTCTGTGATCAGTATTGTTCACATATTCTCACTGTTTGAATTTCTTACACACAAATAGTTGTTTTGATGACTTGGCAAACGGGGAAGAGACAAGAAGTCGTGGAAACAAACAAACTAAACGTACATCGCAGAGCTGACACAGTGTGAATTTATTCCAGAACCCACGGCGTGTCTGCAGATTCCTTTTTTGTGTTTCGTGTTTTGTTTTTATTGCATTTTAAACACCTTGTGAAGGAACAGGAGAGCGACGCGCTGCAGAAAAGATGGAGCCGTGTTGATCTTTTGGGCGGTTTTCGTGAGACCCGAGCGAATCCGGCTCGATAAGGATAAGCAGCAGCAGCGCCGCCTCGGATTGACTGCAGCCTGCCGCCGAGATAAAAGGAACCCAAAGACTCGTAGATATGGTGTCACGAACGCTGATGAAAAACCGTTATTGTGCTCAGTTCCGCGGCTCAGACTTGGTGGGAGAAAAGCTCCCCGTAACGTTGGCCTCAGTGTTTGCAGTCCTGAACCCTCTGAACTCTTCCTTTGAGTCACCGCTGTGGGTGTTTCAATAGAGCGGCTTCCAGAGAAAATATGTTTTATGTTTTCTAAAAGTGAGGTCTTAAATTTAATCTCAGAAAGTCTCACTTTTAACACCTGCAACCTACACCTGCGCATCCTTTGAACAACTTTATATTCACCGCCGCAACAAAAAAAAGACTTTTTTACCTTTTTAAACTTGGAAAATCAGATTCCTCCGCAGCGTTGTGCAGATTTGAACTCTGCTTTCTGGCAGAGTGTTGGAGGCTCGTCCATCTGATGGAGACGACAAGTGGGAGTTTGGTGAAATGGCCCAGCATAAGGTCCTGCAGGCTGCTGGACCAGATCGGCCTGTTGGGGCTTTCACAGGAATAGCAGAGTTTAGCTCCCGCTCTCTGTTCGTCTGCGCTGCCGGAGGTGTGGAGGTGCTGTCGATAGGAGGAGGAGGAGGAGGAGGAGGAGGGGAGCTGTCACGCTTCTCAGCTCACGCTTGGATGGGATTTTGGGGAAGACGCTGTCATCAGCCTGTCAACATGCTGGTTCTGCTTGTGTTGCTGCAGCAGCGGGAGGACGACTGTACGCTCTGCACACTAGCATCAAAACGCACAGTAAAAGACACACGTCTGCTCAGGAGGCTGGAGCTGATTCTCCACATCGCCGCCGGGCTGTTTTTAGCTGGTTGAATAAGGAGATGCTCGTTTTTAAATCCGTTATAAGTTCATTTTTGGAGTGGCTTTAATGAAATTGTCGTCTCTCTACAGTATCGACAAAGTGAAGGCTTTGTCTCTGATGCTTCACGCCGCAGACATCAGTCATCCTGCCAAAGCCTGGCCGCTGCACTACCGCTGGACCCACAGTCTGATGGAGGAGTTCTTCAGACAGGTTTGCACTAAATCTGAATCCTAGAAATGAACTCAACTTTTTCACAGAGATGCGAGTCAAGGCCTTTATAATGCAGCACAATGCAAAAGCCATCTTAAGAAAGATCAGCGTCAAACTTCAGAAACTGCACAAGTGAGCGTTCCACTAAACTGTGATTATCCCGTCACAGCAGAGCCTCCTCATGGCAGATCTGTTCATATAGGATTCCACATACTGAGTGTGCACAGGAGAGTGACTCAGCACTAAATCTGCTTTTTCTGAGTTGGTAAATTACCGTCTAGTGCAGGGTTTTCCTGCTCAGAATGAACCTTTTTGGGGTGAATATGCACGACAGTAATCATGATCTGTCAGTGTACCGTGAAGGCAGCGAGTCTGCGTCACCTTGTTTGACAGAAATATGCTTTTTCCTGCTAATTCTGGCAAGTTGATGAACAAAAATGTCTCTCCCAATTAGCACAACAGGCTATAACAATCAACTACGATTTTTATTTTAAGTTCATATCAGTTTGAAACTGGTGATTTAAGTTCGAACATCTTTGAGAGGGGCAACAAAAAACAATCATCTATGCAGAAAAAACCTGCTTAATACACAGTTATTCCTGATTTCATTGTATAATGTTCAATCCAGCAAATAATTTCCACTTGACTGCTGAAAAAAGACACAAAAAAAAACCTGTGAAGTATCTCTGCTGTCCTGCGAGGTGATAAAACAGAGCTGTGACTAATGTGAGTGCAACATGTATAGGCGTCAACACAACAGCTTTATAATTATGCACCATCAGAAGTTGTATCTCTGTTCTGAAATGTCTGAAAGCAGGTGAGATTTATTCACTCTTTAAATATTTCGGTGTCTTTCTATTTAGTTTTTCCAAGAAAATAAACCGTGTTGTACGACTGAGTAGAGCTGCAATGATTTGTTAAATAACTGATTAGCAGTTAAATTTGATATAATACATTTATGAACGAACCAAAATGCATGAAAATTAAGCGCTACTAGAGTCACTGGAAACTCAAGACTGCCGTGATTTAGTATGACATCGTATACTTTTGTTCAGCAGTCTGCTGAGCTGCTCTCCCAGCAGTCTGGACCGCCTCATCTATGTGCCAATGATAGTTATTTTACCAGTAGCTGAGTTTTCAATCAAATTTTCACTTAAATTTAAGAAAATGTACAAAATAAAATGTATACCAATGTCGTATTTTCAGCCACTGTTGTTGCGTCATTCCTTTGTTCGGCCTGCTTCTTCTACATTTTGGATTCATCAGTATTTTTACATACAACGTGCACAAAAACAGAAGGGTGTCAATACAAACGACTGCAGAGTTGAATGAAACAGCATGCTGGTGGCTGTTTGTTTTCCAGGGAGACAAAGAGGTGGAACTCGGCCTTCCTTTCTCACCTCTCTGCGACCGCAAAGCCACCATGATCGCCCAATCACAGATAGGTAAGAACGACCGTCAGCCAATCACAACCAAGTACCGCAGGCAGGTGAGCGGCACCACGAAGTAAAACAGATAAAATGAAAATACATTGTCGAGTTGTTTAACAGCCATTTATCACAGATATCTGTTCAGTTCATCCCTGTGAAGAACATTTCAGATGTCGGCATCGTTATTCTTCCTAAATAATTCAACAACTTGCTAATTTAAACAAGCTAGCAGTTACAAGAATGAAGAAAACCTTGCAAGGACATGTCACACACAAACTTAAATATATGTAAATAGGTGGTGCAACCTGATCCAATCGATGAGTCGTTATGTTTTAGGAAGAAGAGGAACTTGTGTTTATCAACTATATTGCTGCTCTACATTTTCTACTCTCCTCTTTTCCACCTCTTCCTGGTTGCAGGTTTCATAGACTTCATCGTGGAGCCCACCTTCAGCGTTCTGATCGACACAACGGAGAAGGTGATCGGCCCTCTGATAGAAGAGGACCGGAAGGCCCGAGAGACTGGAAACAGGAGGTCCAGGTGGGAACAAGTAGCTCCAGCATAGAGAGAGATGCTGAATCAGTGAATCTCAATTAGTTTCACCACCTTCACGGCTTAACGACAAGCAGCGCCGTCAGCGACGTCTCTGCTCTGCTCTGCTCCAGTCTTACAGGAAGCGGCTCGGTTACCGTGGAGTCGGTGCAGAGACACAGCAGCGGTCGTCACGGCAACAGCGATGATGGACAGACGGACTTCTCTCTGACGGCCATTGACCTGCCGACTCTGAGGCTCCACCTGTCCGGTGTCATCTCCAGCAACAAGGACCGATGGAAAGAGCTTTCTGTGCACGGTATGAGCACACACACACGGCCAAGCGTGCACGTGTTACACTTTTACAACGACGGCAACACTAAGAAGAACGAGTGTTGGACTACTGTGCACAACTATGTGTGGAAAAAGCATGTAAGCCTGAGTTTTAGTGCAAAATTACAGTGAAGCCGGCATTTCCTGCTGATGACAACAGACTGACGACAGCTTAAAATCTTTAGAGTTGGGAAGATGAAACAGCTGTACAGATTGAATTTTATTAGTGAAGTTATCAATTGATCGTCCAAACAGTCGCTAATTGATAACATAACTTGTCTATTGACTGATCTCTGCAGCTCTAAACCTGTATATTCCCGTGTGTGTCCGTCATGATCAGAGCTGGCCGACAAAGAGCAAGAGGAGAAAGAGAGCGCCGAGGGCAACTCTGACATCCAATCACAAGCCTCGCCCGGCCACACTTCTGACCAATCACAGAACTCCGAGGACCCCCCTCCGCCCGACAACGAGGCGCCCGACCGCGCCGATCACCTGACCTGGAACGGTAACGGCGTGATGTTAAAAACACAAACACTCGGTAAATTTTGACTCCGCGTGAGCTCATCTGTCGCTGTGGTGACCGTTGCAGGGGCGGGGCCAGGTGAGGAGAAGGGGGAGGACGACGAAGTGCCTGAAAACGCCTGACGACGCTCTGCGGCAAACTCCCCGACTGTATCTGACTGTGGCGGATCACCACGGCAACAGGCGGCGCGGTGCAGTGACGACGAGAGATGGAACTCTTTAGTTTAAACACAGCAGCTGACTCAGCGGCCCCTCAGCGGCCCCCCAAAGGGCCACCAGACCTTATGTTTACAACTGACCAAGAAAATATCACATTTATCCGATAAACAGCTTCTTAGCAGCTTCATTGTTCATTCTCAGTGGTTTAAAAAAAAAAAAATGTTTAGTGATTTTTATTAGACACTCAGAGGAAAATGTTAACATTTAAATGCGAAGGAAGTGGGGCAGGTGAAAAACCAAAGAGCGGACAGCGGCTGAAATGTTATCAGGGAGGAATGAGTCATGGAGCTGTTAGGAAGCGGTCGAGGAGGTTTTGTTAATGCAGCCGAGCAGAGCTACAGTTGTGTTGTTGTACACGTCCTACAGTTTGTTTGGAGTGGCTGCTCTGCTCTGCGCTCAAGGCTTCAAATCATCAAACATGTTTGTGCTTCAGGCCACGTCCCAATCTGAGACGTCAACACTGCCAAACAAAACTCAACACATCCTACAGGACTTTAGTCAGACCATTCTGCAGTACAGAATCACCCCATTATCATTCTGCCACAATGGGAAAAAAAACCACTTGATACGTCTTTAAACGCAGTTGTTTAAGTAGAACTAAGCCCGGGATGCAGTGATGGTGTCCCCTCAAAAAGTGACTTGTTGTTTAGGTGGGAAATTTGCATGCAGGAGCTTGAGAACTGTCATTAAAGTGGCTAATTCACCGTAAAAACTACCAGGGCAAAACTTAAAATCTTCAGTGCGGAATGGGAGGTTATTGTTGTTTCTCCTGGTGAAGGGGAATTTGATATCAGAAGCCACATGATGGCAGGCCTGTACCCGCAGTCTACATCCGATGAGTCAGGCTAACAGTCTCCCATAGCCAGAGAATGGTCTGGTTGCACATATCATCATTCTGCGACAGGGGGAAAAAAA